TCCCATATATGTTAGGACGTGTATATCAAATTTTATGAAGATTAGTTGAGCCGTTGAGGCACTAAGAGGTAAAACACAAACTTATTTTGAAATGTATAATATATATATGTATATAAGGAAGCAAATAGATATGTTTTATAGGTTGAAATTCAAGTCATTGTTAGCTGGTAGGAAAACTGAGAATCTATACATGCTATAGATAAAACAGTGCAGAATTTAAGAGAAATGATCACAGCCTGATATACGATCAATAAATTTTGAACTTAACAGCTGGATGATAGTATGGGAGGTTTAAAAAATTTTGGCGTTTCTGAAGCCATGTTCTTATGGTAAAATATTAAAATTCACTGGCAGAACACTTTTTTGAAAAGATGCTCATACTTTTTTATTTCACCCTGATTATCTGTGCGGCTACGTCGTAAAACTAGAAGCCAAAATCTTGGAAATATTGATAAAAACATTTAACGTCGACCCCAAAATTTAAATAATTAGGATAAGGGTAGCAAGATGATTATTAGTCTATGGTTTGTGGTCAAGGAAATAGGCGTTTCGGTTTACGTTCGAAAAACAAAATTACCGTAACACTACTGTGATTTGATTTGACTAGTCGAGTATTATGTTGGTACCTATGTTCAACAGGTACAAATAATGAGCACTTATGCAGCGACGTGTGTTAATGAAATAAACCGGTACGCGTATGTATGTCTGTACATCATACGTACAAGTAATCCGACAGTAATTAATGCCAGCTCAAATTTGTAAGCCCTCGCGTTTCCAGCACGGAAACAAACAACGCATTGTCGGACCGAGTGAATCGTACGTGTGATCCAACAGTGTTTGCTCGTCAGGGCGTCGAACCCGCACCACTGTGCCTTTATATCCGTTCAAATAAGCACTAATTATATTTAATGCGTTTTACCTGTAATTAGAAGGTGTTAGAAAATGTGAAACAGTGTTTAACGGTTTCGACAGAGTTTTTTAGGATTGTTTACAGTGTTACGTTAACGATTAGACTGCTTTATGAGGTGTTTCCACCATATCGCCCACGCTACATCGCGAATACAAACACTCAGATGGGCGATGTAATGATTATTGTAAACATACTCAGATTTTAGACAGACGCTATCGCACCGTAAAACATAATAGCAACAAGTTGATGATGACACCGTCGCTGTATTTAACGATAATTTAATGCCAACAATGAAATACGTCTTGTAAATTGTGCGTAAAGCTTTACACGCGAGACGAAAGATTGGAGAAACAAGTGATTTAATTTAATAAATGGAACACAACACAAAAATTGTATGATGTAACTGGCCGTAAATATTTTTAGTGGTCGTAAAACGGAACGCTCCGGCTCGTTCATCTACGGGAACGATGCCTATAAAACTAGAACACGTGTTTGTTGAGTATTGTAGACTGTTGCAATAGATTCGCGGACACTTAGCGAGCCGTCAATGCTCCCTACGCAGGAAGATGGGCAAGGAAAGTGTAGGTGATCGTAAATAAAGGCGTGACTCAGGCGGCCGCGGCCGGTGGCGCTCGTCCGAGCTATTTTCGACTTGCAAATGAGAAAGTGCATCGGCAGCGGAATAACCTATAGGCTGTAGCTCGATTTTAGTGGTGTCTACCTGTGTCGAGTCGATATATTTAGTAGGTACGACCTGTGTATTGTACTGCATGTGTACATAGTGGTGTGGAGCGCAGTGCGGGTGCAATGCACTGTCGTTGCCTTACTGGTTTTACTATAAACTTGGTTTGTTCTGGTTTGCATTATGTAGGTATTCTTGTTTATATGTTTATGTTAACAGAGATACGTATCGTGTCCATTGTTTGACGTTGTTATCAAGTAAAAGCTGTAAATTTATTGGTGTAGGTAGGCAGGTACTAGGAGACCAGAAAGCGCAAGGAAGTTTGAAGGGTCGATCCTCTTGTAAGTTGTGGGACGTGGAAAGTCTAGCATGGAAGGAAATAAAGTCCATTGTGGATATTTTAGTCATATATTTTAATGATATAATAGATATAATTTTAAAATTTAGCGCATTTGCGATTCATACGAACATGAGGTCACGGGTCAAATGTGGCGAAAACGTAATTGCTTTTCAGTTGATTTAATAAACGTTATTGGAGTTATGATTTTACTAGCTATTTCCCATGGTTTTGTTCGTGTGCAAGCACATTTTGTGCGTGTGTTTAAGCGTGATTTGAGTTTTAAACATAAAAATATCTTTGATAATTTTTTATATAGATAATATAACTTGTTTTAGAATTACGATTTTCGTTTATAAAATTAACATCCGTTATTGACTGTATTTATAAGAGACCCAGCATGAAAGTAATTTTGCAAGAGAACCATGGATTTTTGTAATAAAAAAAATAAAAATATATAAAATATTTTATTTTTATTTTTAAAGAAACCTATGACATTTGAGTTTCACTGGTAAGCTGCTATAAAATGGTCATTTATTCGATACCAATAAATGGTCATATGTTTTAAAACGGCCGAGAACCACTGCATAACACATGTTCTGTCTACAGTCGTAAGAAATGCCTGTAGACACTTTAAAAAGTGGTAAATATAACTGGAGCTACTCGTAGTTTGTGCATGAAATGGCCATCTCATATGGATATTCTAGGTTCGTTCGTTTCTGCATAACTAGTTACAACTATAGACAAATATTATATTTATTTTTTTTTTTATTGATTTTAGAACGGCAAATAAGCTGACGTATTTAATATTGACTAATAATAGTAAAAAAAATATTTCTATTATGTACCTAAAAGGCAATATTCACACATTTCATAAATAATGGAAATCGACTGCGTATTTTTTTTAAGAATACAAATTAATTTGAAACTCTTATTCTAAGTTAACTTCTGTTTTATCTGTATATTTTTTTACTGAGGTGTCTGAAAATCTGAATAGTGTTCTGAATCTGAACAAAAAAAAAAAAGAAAAGAAATTAAAAAAAATCCCAAGTACATAAAGCTTTTTACAATTTAAATATTTTATTTTGGACTAGATATTAATGAAAAAAATAGGTATACTAATAAAATAATGACGTACTTATGTAGGTACGTATATTTTAAAATAACTTTCACAATAGGTTCCCAAATCGCTCGTATTTTTGTGTATAGGTACTAATATATGTAACATAATATTTTTTAATTGATAATTAACATGACTTAGTCTCCGTATTAATTCTGTATTAATTTTGCAATGAATAATTTAGTTATTTTTATATAAAGATTTTTTTTTCTATAAATATCAAATTATCGAATTCTTAACTAATTTTTAGGTTTTTTATTAAGGAGGAAAGACTTGATTTTGTGTTAGTAGAAAATGTATAAACACAAAAACTACTCAATTCATGATAGATATTCTTTCATTGGCCGTGTGGTCCCGGCATAGAATAGGCCACTTCTTCCTATCCCGTGGGTGTCGTAAGTCGATTAAGGGAGGATAAAGGAGGGCAAGGGATGGGTAGCAGCATCCCTCTTAAAACATCTCTAAAGCCTAACTGCGGTTGTCAATCCGCCTACCCAAGCGTGACAACTACTGGCAAAACGCCCCAAGGGGGAGGCTGTTCAACAGTGGACAGTTAAAGGCTAACATGATATGATGATGATTCATTCATCTCTATTAAGTTACATTATCACCAAACATAGTGCATAGGCTATATTTTATTTTAAAAATATCGTGAGTTGAATAGTGTTTAAATAAAAAAGTTACCTAGTTATTCTGTATAATTCACATAGAATATGGGTCTATTTGAGGGTCAAATTTTTACATAAAACCGTTTAGCTTCTCGCATTGTATTACTAGTGACTTAAAACGTAAATACGTTTGCAATTATATTAAATAATAAAATAAAAGTAATGGTCAAATTTAACAACTTCTCGACACCGTGGTAATTTTTTACATATCGTAAATATAGATTTGCGGTTGGAAACTACATAAAAAATGTTATATTTATCTATCTACCTAATTAGGTATATTTTTCCACATGTTAATGAAAGAAACTTCTTAGGAACTTCTTATTATAATCTAATATTTTGTTTCCCAAAAAAAAAAAAAAAACTCGATCGCGCCAAAACGAACTGATTTCAAAATATTTCGATTTAAAAGTTAAACTATGGTATCAATTTTGATAAAATTTCTATGGGATCGATTTGCATGTTTTTTTAGATAAAAAATAATTTTTTAAATCGGTTTACAAACGACCGAGTTCTGAGGTAACAAACATAAAAAACGCAAACAAATTAAGAACCCCTCTTTTTAAATCAGTTGAAAATTTAAAGATTTATAAATAAATCCATATAGGTATTATATGTTATTGTAAACGTAGGTAACTACCCGCCTGTTTTAAGGCAGCTTTTTAGTAGGCAATTATTTTTTACAAATTTAATAGTTAAATACGTCAGTGGGTGTATAATTATTAAGTTTTAGAATAATGTAAAATTATTCATAGATTTTTTTTTATATAACTTAGAATGGCAAACTAGCTGATGGCCCACCTAATGGGAAATGATAACTGTTGCCTATAGACATGATAAGCACCGTGGACATAAGAGAATACATTATAATGCCCATGGCACGCCTCATGCTGCTATTTTTGATATACTCAAGTAGGCTGTAATTTATAGATACGCAAGAAAATTGCTGTCATTAGATATTCTATGTATGCCTAAGTAATGATGCCAAATTAAATCATACAATACGATTGTATTTGTTTTGAAATTACTACTCCAGTGCAATATGTTGTACGTTGATGTCCCGATTTTACCGCTATGTATCGAATACTGGAATCCGATCGGGTCAAGTCAGACGGTCAAGTTTTATCGATACCTACCTACCTATTGTACTTAATAAAATGCAAGTTTGTCGCGATATCTCCTCTACCGGCACTTATCGGCTCAAAACAAATCCTAAACCCTTATCTCGATACCTATGTACGTATATAAATACATTAACATTGAATCAATATTAGGTTACTTACCGCTTTCTACCGCGCGACGTCCCGACCCCGTCGCACACAACACAAACGCAACTAGTCACTATATCTCACCGTCTTCTAAAACAACACCTAATTGAATCCATGTTATCATTTAAATAAAATATCGATCAGTCACACGCGGTGAATGCTCCACGGCGACGCGTATATTTTTACATTCGACTCGAGATATTTTCGATAGTCATCTGCTTTTGGTATCTCACTCGCGAATTCACAACACTAGCTAATTATGTGGCTTCTTTTTAGTGATGGCGTAAGATACTTTTTGTCACTGATCAGCTGAGCGAATGTTTGAAACAATAATCTCGGCGTTTACGTATTTATTTTATCGCGAACACGTACAAGCGATACGACGTGTGAAGACTGACTGAGTGAATGAACGACGAATCGAGAATGCTCGTTTCGTAGGGCGAATCGGGGAAGGGTACGAACGCGGGGCACGAGACGTCATCCGGTCTCGTACGCTTCCCCGATAGATGGCAGCACTCGTCCAATCCAACCGCGTCAGTTCAGTTCTTCCGAACTTTTTCGGAAATCTGAAATTCTGAATGCGCGTTAAAATAATTACACGAGCGCGTTTGCCTCGCTTCTTTCTAAATTAGAAAACGTTTTCGAATTATTCCTATCGAACGTTTTGCTCTCCGATTTATGTTGGCGCCACATCCGTAGGTAGGTACTTTCTGTATCCGGACCGGAATCAATTTACGTGAATCCACTTTCGCATTTCAAATTTCCACCTTGTCGTTAAACGTGACGGAAATTAATGTGTACATTGCAATTCTTAACAATTTAGAATTGGGAAAAAAAAAAGTACTTAGCGTGGCGTGAGACTTGGATAAATGTAAAATTCTATTACATCTCAGATTGGGTTTGTAATCGCGAATGGAAATCGATTAAAGTTGCGGAGGATTCAGCCGGATTCTATCGAACACTAGGTAAAACTCATTTTCGCCTCCGCGATTTGATCCCGGATGAAAATAAAAGGAACAGTTTGATTTCATTAAGCTTTTACAGTGGGATTTTGATTTCCTCCTTACTTTTAGATGCCTATACTGATTATTTTTCTATTTCAGCAATTGGTAAAGAAAGGAGATACTTATCTACTTACGTAAATAGAGCCAAAACTCTAAAGAAGTTACATGAAGTATTTACCTAAATACATTTCAAAAATAAGTTACAAAGGTAGTTATGAAGTTTAAGTCCTTATTTAGACATCGTCCTATTTGAAAAATTAATAATAATTTGGAACCCAGTAATAAAAAGTATATATAAAACTGTACTAAAATCAGCTTTTTCTTTTTTTTAATTAATGGATGATATAGACTTAGATAATATAGATAGAGCATCGAGTATCGTCATCTAATTTGACATTTATCATTAATAACATATCAGCCTTTAACTGCCTACAGCTGAACGTAAGTCTTCGCCATTTCTTAGTCGCCTCTTACGTACTGACGGGAAAAGAAGAGGTGGCCTATTCTATGCGGGGTCCACACGGCTATCGACGTTTAATAAAATTTATTTTTAAATCAAAACAATGTGCCTTTTATTTAAAGGATTTCCAAATTGTCAAACTTCCTAGATTAGATCGAATTTTCAAATTTGAATTCGGAACTATTTTTTCTTTAATATAAATAGAGATATGTACATTTGCTTATAAATTAATATACATGTGATAATTAATATGGCGATCAGAACATATTTTCCCCCTACATTTAGATATAAGTAAAACATTTCACTATAAATAAGCATTATTACGAATCATTAGAACTGTTTATGTTGTTTTTTTTTATTTCAAATATATCTGGAAGAATTTATGTGTCGTTTTTATTTTTTAATTTAATCCTTTAAAATAAATTTCTCCCACATGCTAATAATCGGGTTACCAATAAATATTAACTATATTTATTGGTAACCCGATTTACGCTCACATAGATAAAAAAAATTGAAGTATTTTTTAATAAATAGATTTGTATGGAGATACTCTATTTGTATAATATATTCCAGTTATGTGGACAAAGTCAGATAGCTTACAAGTACAATTAAACATGTATCTACTATTATTTTAATGGAATAAATTCCTATTACCACATAGATGAGGTCGTGGGCGAAATTATTATTGATTAATAAAATGATCTAACACCCATATTAAATAACTAGTATTATTGGCGCATAACATAAACAACAAACCTTGTCTATGGAATATGACATATGACAGATGATAGCCGCGACCATAAACAATGGAGCGCCCGCGATACTGGTTGATAACAGCTGATTTATTGTCTATGCTGCGCGCCTTAAATCAATTATATTGTGACTACCGATATATCGGCATGAAAGATTTATTTCTTATATTTTTTTGTTAATGTTTAAGAAGCTATCTATTTTTTTTTTACGCAACATGGAATGGTAAACAAGCTGTCGACCCACCTGATGGAAAGTGGTAACCGTTGCCTATGGACACGGATAGCACCATAGATATTATAAAAGATATAGAATAAGTATAACGTATTGTATAAAATATAATGTCACGTCTATGGTACTTCAGTTTTATCTCTATTCTGGACTTATTTTGATTTTAAAACGTGGAATTGTGTCTATACTATAGATTTTGCTTCTCAACAACCAATTTTTGTGTATCGTAAAGAACGTTTCGTCGACTTTGTATGACTTTAATCGACGGTAGTAATCTCTGTCAACTGTAAAAAGAATTATCAAAATCGATTCAAAGAGTAACTCCTCCTTTTGGAAATCTATTAAAAAGCTATTTATTGGTAATACCATAAGAATAAAGACTAGGTTATGGTAATACGTGGTAAAAATGGTAATATTTATAGTACCTATAGTATAAGAGCTCTTTAGTTATTTACTAAAGAACATTATTTAGCTACGCATCGTTTCGCGCGGCGTTACCTGCTTTTAACTATGTAGTTCCCATATATAATTCCCATTGGAACTCTTCATAAATCCGGTCTTATATTTAAATATATACTTAAATGATTACGTACCTAATACCTTCATAAACTTTCAGCCAATTTAACTGATCGGTTATTTTATAGCATTTAATATGTGATTCTTTAGATTTATATAACTTTTTTTTATTAATGAACCGATTGAAATAAAACACTGAATGTTAAATGGAGCAAACCGCAACGCATCAGTGAAAACTGCATTCGAATCGGTTAAGCCGTTTCTGAGTTTAGCGTGCACAGTCAAACAGACAAAAATTCTAAAAATCATTGTTTTGGGTTCTATTGCGTTCATAAAGCCCCCCCCCCCCATAATAGTTTTTTCTTATATATGTTCCATGTACAGACAGTGATCAGTTACTATTTTATTATATGTATTGATTGATTGGTGTAGTTCAGTACTAAAGTATTACTTACGTACTTAATTAAGACTTTAGTACTTAAGTATGTACTACAACAATATTGATTGTAATTATAAATACTGTGCGATACTGTACCCGTAGAGTTATGACCTCGTTTCGGATTTATCATGCCAATAAATAACAGTCGTTTAATTATTTTGCACAAACATTATTATAATTAATTAAGTTTCATATCTGTTTAAATGGTAAATATAATTTTGTTTAAATGAGTTCATTAGTTGTTAGCGTGTATCGGAATTTATCAACATTTTTTATTGTCTATTGCCACAATTGACATTTATTGCTTCTATTTTAATTAACATGATAAGGTTATGTGTCTAAGATTTAATTGTAGCTTGTTAAAACGAGATAACTAGGCGTGTAGGTGACAATGATGTATATTATGATACTAATATAATTTAAAGTAATTATTTCACAAAAAAAAGGATTCAAATGTAATAAAATTTACGATCAAGTTTACAGTTAATCCCACAGATTATAACAAGAATTATCAAAATAAGATTTGCGTAATACAATATACGTACATATTATTACGTTTTTTTTTAAACAAGCAGATTATATCTATTTTAGTTTTTAATTACTTTTGCGCGGGAACAAATTCGCACATTGAAAAAAAAAAAACAATGGCTGGTTAAAAATTGAAATATTATAACTTTATATTAGTGAAAGAACTACCTATCCTTCATTTTTATGTTTTTTTTTTTTAATAAAACTTGGTACACGATATGTGAGGCCTCTACATATGACGTGAATTAGGCAATGTATAAATATTATACTGTGGTCTGAGTTAACCGATTCACTGTTTCATGAGAAAAGAAATCGATTCTAGCATACCCATAGTATAAATTTTATAAAGTACATACTCGTGGCGCATATCGATCTTGTTAAATAGATAAAAACGCTATAATAATAATACTATAATTTATATAAGATAAAGGACATAGATTATAAATGATACAACTGTATTTTTTCTTAATTTTTTTTATGAAGTTTATATCTAAATTGTACAAAAGAAATCTAATTTTAAAAATGCATCACTCATAAGTGGCGTAGAAAAATAGAAACGTACTTTATCTACGTTATAAATTTTTTTTGATAACCTAACCTATAGATATATTTTACCCTCTCTCATTTTATGAGTTCTTCGGCACATACAGCGCAGTTTTATATCTCGTATTTACGAACAAAACGACCAACATACAGGCAACAAAAGCTAGGCGACTCCTAGACGCAACTACCAGGAGAGCATATCTCGCGTGTAGGTTGTAGTGCGATAGCTGATAAACGACACTCGTGGTTAAATCTACCTGTGTGTGCATGTGTATACATTATGTATGCAGTGAAACACAATGGACCGGTGGGCGCTCGTGGGCGCACCGCTGCCTCTTATGCATTACTTGTACTGTCGCTGCCAAATGGATTATATTTTTAATCTGTTTTTTTATTATTATTTTATTATCTATTTTAAGAGAATACCAAATTTTAAAATTTTCGCGATGTTGATACACATTGGAGTAATTATCGTATTAAGTCCCTACAGTGTATTTAAAACAAGTTTATCCCAGAAACATGTTTTAAATACTGTCATTTTCATGGCAAGATATTTTTAAATTTAGTAAATAAAGTATAGAAAAGTTTGCAGTCAATTTTAAAACAAATCCAAATTCCAATACAAAGAATATTGATCGAAAAGAAGAATGTTTAATACATTCTTCTTTCTTCTGGCTTATTATCTCTGTTTATTTGGGGTCTGCTCTCCTAGTAGTCCTGCGCCACATCGTACGGTTATGGGTTGTCTTTTCGCTCACGTTTGCATATTAAATATCGTCTTTTATGGTTTGCAACCAGGTCATTGACCACGGCATCTCTTTCCTTCTTAAATATTAAACATTATAAGAATAATATAATATTAATATATTTTTTTTTATTGTATAATTACTTGTTCTTGATATTTATAGCGCGTAGATGTCGATTTTTAGTATTATTCTAT